GCAGCTCCTCGCACCAACGCGTAAAACTCAGCCTCTCCAGAGCTGAGCGCTATCACCGATTGCTTGGCACACGAAGCATCGATGAGATGCTTCCCAAATCTCTCAGCGTAGCTGGACATAGACTTGCGCGTGCGCTTGCACGCTCCCCAGTCCGAGTCCGTAAGCACCACAGCTTCCTCAGGCTGCTCCTGGTACTCGTAGTGCCAAACTTCCTTCGGGTACTTCAGAAGGTAACGGCCTAGGTGCTTGAGCTTGAGCTCGTGTTCAACCGTAGGCTTTGCCATGCCAGAGGTGATCTCCGACAAGGCATACTGGATCGTCGGGCGATCCTGGGACAGGTAAAGCGCAGTACCAGCGAGTCTCCGGAACTTCGCTGCAGCCTCAGCGTCCAAAGGATCTTCGAGATCCCTGCGGCCTTTTCCACATTCCGTAGAACATGGGGCGTCTGCGCTCTTAGCGTCCGTAAGCCCGAGCTCCTCAACGATCTGCCGCGAGTACTTAGGATCAGCTTCCCAAGTGAACCCGCGCTCGCTCCATCGAATGATGCGGTGCAGATGATCGCCATGCGTGGTCTGGCCTCCGAACTCCTCAGGGCCAATCCGTGGCAATATCTTGCTCTCAAAGGATTGCATCATCAGCGCATCCAGTCGATCCAGATCGTCGCTTTCGCCCTCAGCGATAAAGTCGTCGCCGTGGCAGCTCAAGGTCACGCACCACTCGTCGTGGTAGAAGAGGCCAGGGATTCCTGGAACCTCCCAGAAACCTGCCTCCGTCATGACCTCACACACGCGCTTTGACCACTGTCGCGAAGCCTCACGTGTGCCATTCATGGCTTTGAGCAAGTACCAGAGCTTCGATTGATCGAGATCTTTCGGAGGGACGACCGCAATTTTGCCCGTGGCCACCGCATGAAAGAAGGCAACAGAAACACCATACCGGGCAATAAGCTTGCGCCGGTTGGTCCTGCCAGCCTTTGCAGTGGCTGCAGCTGAAAGTACCATGCGGTGCGTCCGCAACGGCGGTGTTCCACTGAAAACGTCGTCGCGCTCGTGGTCGTTGATCTCTTGGGCTACGCAGCGGCTGCGCACCCCATTTGGATCATTGGGCAATGGTTTCCAACCATCCACCCACCGGCTTCGGACTATCTTTAGCCCCTGCCGTCGCGCCTCCTCCCAAGAGATGTCCTTCTTGACAGAGTGTTCCTCCATCTTGTCCAGCTCGCGCCCTCTTGCAGTCTTGACCTTGTCAACGGGAAGGGGCTGGCCTGTTCGCTCGTCGTAGGCACCAAGCTCCTCCACTCTGCCGTCCAGAGGGTAAGCAAACAAAGGCTCCCACTCGCCTTTCTCGTGGAGCGTGGGCAGTCCCCCCATCAACTCCTGGTCCTCAAGAGGACGCTTTTCACCTCTTGCTTCTGGCGTCTTCTGCTTCTTCGCTCCTTGTGAGCTCTTTCCAGTAACGCGGCGCTGCCCGCTGTCACTTGAAGGAGCGGGGACACCCGCATCCTCAACCTCTCGCTTCTGGCCTGACTTAGCCTCAGAGGTCCCCTCCATGGCCCTTGGCCTTGAAGGCTGACTCGGCTCGGTGCTTCCCGACTCCAAGTCTTGGCCGGTGCCCTGGGGCATCTCGGCCTGACCTCCTTCAGTCTCCATGGGTCCCGCAGGCGTCCCAGGGACTGGTGTACCAGGCGTGCCTGGCACCGGTTGTCTCGGGTACAACTTCTCGAACCTCTTACGGCACTCGTCGTTGTGCCGCTTTGGGTTGTCGTCATCACACTCACAGCCAGGACATCCAGGTGTCTTGCCGTGCTTGATCTGACGCTCCAAGGTGATATACACCGAGGGCTGCCTACGACCTGGAGTCGCTGGGGCCTTGTTGTCTGAAGGCACGGTGGTTGGCTCTCCGCGCGGTTGCCAGGGAAGCCCAACCATCCCCTCGAGGTGTTTCAGCTCCCACCTCTTCTCTTCTGGCCTTCGCCAGATGCTTCTGCACCGACGGATCCCCTGAGCAGTGCCCAGGAAGTGCTCGTCGGAGGCAAGAGACTTGCCTAGCCAAACTCCAACTGACGTTTGCTTGTCCAGCTTGCCAGTCTTCTCTTTGTCAAGCTTGTAGTGCACGACCTCGCAGCACTCAGCAACTTCACCGCGGAAGTCCCGGCCTCGAAGCCTTTCGTAAGGTGTTCTCCCGTCCTGCTTCACCAAGAAACGGGAGATGAGCCACCCTGCGTGCCGCACCAACCACGGAAAGACAACCCCCTCAGTCTCCAGGGGCTTCTTGTAGCGATTCTCCAGCGCGCTCGCAAGAGTTCGCACCTGACGCGCCAGCTCCAAAATGGCTCGCTCGGCCGCGCCGTTAGATGCGTGAGAACCTTTCGGTGCAGTCTGGTGCTGCACGCTGCCAGTCCAGGACTTGGCGGCACTTTCAGCAAGTGCCCGGATGCTATGCTCAGCATCGCTCATCATGATGACCTTTTGGCGCCCGCAGAACTTGAGCGCTTCAGTCA